TTGCCTTGGGAACCTTTAAGGCTTGTGGACTTCAACTCCCAGAATCCCTCAGCCGGCTTTGCCTTGGGAACCTTTAAGGCTTGTGGACTTCAACTCCCAGAATCCCTCAGCCGGCTTTGCCTTGGGAACCTTTAAGGCTTGTGGACTTCAACTCCCAGAATCCCTCAGCCGGCTTTGCCTTGGGAACCCTTAAGACTTGTGGACTTCAACTCCCAGAATTCCTCAGCCAGCTTTGCCTTGGGAACCTTTAAGACTTGTGAACTTCAACTCCCAGAATTCCTCAGCCGGCTTTGCCTTGGGAACCTTTAAGGCTTGTGGACTTCAACTCCCAGAATCCCTCAGCCGGCTTTGCCTTGGGAACCTTTAAGACTTGTGGACTTCAACTCCCAGAATTCCTCAGCCGGCTTTGCCTAGGGAACTTTAAGACTTGTGGACTTCAACTCCCAGAATCCCTCAGCCTGCTTTGACTTGGGAACTTTTAAGACTTGTGGACTTCAACTCCCAGAATCCCTCAGCCTGCTTTGACTTGGGAACTTTTAAGGCTTTGCTGGCTGAGGAATTCTGGGAGTTGAAGTCCACAAGTCTTAAAGGTTCCCAAGGTTGGAGACCCCTGCTTTAAAGATTTCCAGCCTGGCTCTTTTGCTCTCTCTTAATCAAATTTGTTGCTTTTGTCTGACGACTCGTTAGCTTCGGGACAGTCGTATCTCTGGGCCCTTATAGGAGGTTGTTTATTTATCAAATTTACGTTGCCGCCTATCTTAAAAGGCGCGCGACTCTGGGTGGAATATAACTAACGGCGTTAAAATAAATATATTTCGTACTTCAGGTAATCCAGGAGAGGCCATCCTGGGACTTAAAATTGAAAACTCGATGACGCTTTTTAAGATGTAAACATTTTAAACCCTCTTCCCTACCAGCCTGCCGTGGTCCGAAAGGATCCGCACCGACGAAGCCCCGAAGTGCCTCAGCAACTCTTCTTTCTCCGAGGCCGTCAAGACGGCGGGCAAATGTCGCACCAAGAGGATCCGGTTGCTTTTCCCCGGTCGCAACTGCCGGCCGCTCGCCTCAGAACTGGGCCCCGCCATGTTTTCCCCAACCGATGGCGGAGAGGTTGACGTTGCGCATGCGCCTCCGTTTTGCAAGGCCCGCTGGCCATCTTGCGCTTCGAAATCTCGTCGGCCGAAAGGCAATAACGCGGAGGGCGGCCCGGAGATCTCGCGAGAATTGGGAACTTCCTATTGGGAATAGCCTCTCCAACCCAAAGAGTTACAGTCTGTAACAGTCAAACTAAGAAGTCAGGAGAATAGCCGGGAAAGTTTGAATATGGAGCGGGGTAAAAAGAGACCGTCTAGTTGAGGGTTGCTTTTTATAGGACGGCAATACCCGCACATGGATGCTGTTCTCTTTTGTAGCGGGCTTCCTCAAATTGACCTTGTAACTGCTTTATTCACTCCAACCTTGGCAACTTTAAGACTTGTGGACTTCAACTCCCAGAATTCCTCAGCCAGCTTTGCCTTGGGAACTTTTAAGGCTTTGCTGGCTGAGGAATTCTGGGAGTTGAAGTCCACAAGTCTTAAAGTTGCCAAGGTTGGAGACCCCTAGAGATCCAGATGAAAAAAAATCTCCCCGTCGGGGAGAAAAAGGAACAAGTTTATGGACCATCAGGATTTCTCCCAAATCTTATGGGAAACTGTTTCATATTTCAACAGTTCCAAGAAGCCCGTACCCCAGTGGTTCCCAAACTTGATCCTGACGTCATGCATTGGAGCAGTGGGGAGAAGACAAGGGAGTTGTTCCTGGATGCCCGGCAATGGAGAACTAATAGGCGTAAG